TGCTGATTCGATAAGTTTTGATTTAGCATTGATAAACTTTTGATCTGGGATATAATTGTATTCAAATCAAAAGTTTACTATTACTAAATCAAAACTTATCAAATTGGCAAATATTTAGTCAGTTAATTTTTGACAGATTTTCTAGAATTTATAAAAATAGCTGTAATTTAAATATTTATATTTATGAATATTTGCTATTTTTGCCAAATTTTTCATAATTTATAAAAATAGCTATAATTTAAAATTTTTTTTTTTTTCAGTATTAAGATGACCTCTTGGTCAAGTATACTTTATTGATTTCGAATGTGTTATACATATTTGGAGAGTACATCTAGTCATACCTGCGTCTTTTGAGCACCTATTTAAGTAGTTTGCCTATTACTAGATTCTACACTAGTTGCTATACCTGCAACCCAACTAAAGGATTACCCATATAAACCCTCTGCGCCTATATACTCCAACATCTACATTAATCAGCAACTATTTCTCCAGTTCTATGAACAGGTTTCCCTAGCGCACGTTTACATGATAACTTAGAACTTTAAAACAGACTTTCATCACCTTCGTAATCTACTTTTAGTCTTTTATCCTCAAAGTAAACCTGGTAGAGCCCGCAGTATTTCCACTTTATACCACACCTAGCCTGCATTTCAGTTTAATATGTATAGATCGTGGCCCACTACTTGTAGCTCAGTTTTGTCCATTCTGAGAGTGTATGTGGCGCCAGATTGAAGTTCTTGCCTATAGTTTTTTCCTCAGCTTAAACTTTCTTCTGCTTTTTTCTACGATTTAACACCAGTTTGGCTGAACTCCACTATTCAAACCTACTTCTGCCCTTGTAAAGTTCACTCAAACCCCAGAATTTACTTCACAGTATATTCTCAGTACTTTAGTAACCCAGCTCCCTTTACCCAAACTTCTAATTCAGATAGCTTGGTATGTAATCACTTATTTTCCTCTGATTCGATAGCAGTCTAGTTGGTGTTGATGATTTTACCTATTTATCAATAGCAAGAACCCCAACCCTGGTTTTCAACTTCCAAGCTAGATACCCCAGTAACCATGTACTTTTTCTCTATATTTAGGCAGGTACCCCTGAAGGGTGGCTAGTAGGTCTTCCACTATCATCACAACTTGCCTGCAATTGCAGAGGCTCCCTAGCTAGATTTCCGGTCCTCTTTCCTATTTGTAGTGGCCTGGTTGGTATAGACGTATCCTTAAACACCCGTATCTTATCCAGTTCAGTTCATATAGGTTCTGTTTCCTAGGTCTAACCTTTACAGTAGCTTCATCAAAAATTTGTACTACCTCTCTACTCGGTCTTGCCAAGTAGGCTTCCGTATTCGCAGTTCTCCGGATTTACACAGCCTGGGAACTTATCTTGTATTTGTATCACCCTATTATCGGTTTGCATTTTTTATGTAACTTTATATCACATGAATGCCCCAGACCTTCCAGTCTTGCTGGTACGACCGTAGTTACAGGTATCCTATCTCAACTAATCGTCAAATACAGTTAACCATAATACAAGCAGAATTTTTAAATTTTTGTCACTGGTGAGATTTAAACTCTTGACCTGCTACTTGGGAGATGACAACTTGACCACTTTACTATGTCACCACACCCCATAATTTAAATATTTATATTTATGAATATTTGCTATTTATAAATAATTAAATAAACTACTCAATTTCATAAATATCTACAATTATTCATTTTAATTAGCTATTAAATACAAAAATTATATTTAAGCATTACATAAATAAAAATCTAATTAACTAATAATTACATATATAAATCTCTTTGCAGAATTTCTTTTACCACCTGAATAACTTAGGGGATCTACTTACGAGTGACCTGTTGTGGGATTTCTTTTATCACCCAGATGATCTAGATGTGATTTACTTATTTTCTACAGTGATATAATATTTTCAGATCATGAATTATATAATTATTAATCATACGTCATCATATATCAAGTGATTTTGTTCTCGTTAGTTGTATTATATATTAAAAATTTTTAAGAATTTTTAATGCTTAAAAGTGAATTATTTAATTCATCCAAACTTATTACTTATTTAATAAAAAATATTAGAAGAGGTTATAAATGATAAAGAAATGTTTTTAAATGACTTTTTTGATAAGTTTAATCGTTTTGTAGAAACTATTAAAGATAATTTAATTCCTGACAATCTCTTCCTGCCAAAGGCTACTTTATTTATATATGAAGGTGTTTAGCGTGGTAAATTTTCTTTAGGAACAGAATATCTTGTTCCATTAAAAACTGATATTGAAAAATAGATACATTATTTTAGATATAATACACATACAAATTATATATGAGAAAGAACAGAATACAATTCTGGAAATATTGAATTTCAATATACTTACAAATATTATTGGTCAGGAAGATATCAAAGTCAAGCAGGCCAAAGTATTACCAAAAATACAAGAATTAATCAAAAAGATTCAAAAAAAATCAGCTATAAATCAACTATTATGGTTACTAAAACTAAAGGAAATTGTCCTCAAATGATTATTAAATATACTTCTCATTCTAACCATATTTCAGGTAAAGAAAATAATATTAAAACTCTTAGACTTTCAAACCAAATTTAAGATTATATTGTACAACAAATACATGATGGTTTAAATGTTAAAGCAATTAGTCAAATTTTTAAAACACAGACACATGATTTAGATAAAATTTGGAATCAACGTGAATGTCTAAAAGCAGTTCAAATTTGTGATCATCTCATTATTTATGATAATATATATAATATATAGAAAGAAGTAATTAAAAAAGATCAAGAGTGTGGCAACTTAGTGAAGTGGTCAAGTTGTTACACCCCCAAGCGGTTGAGTATTGGTTCAATTCCCACAAAAAGCAAAAATTGGATTTTAAGAAAAATAGAATTCGGTAACTAATGCCGTGGCCGGAAAAACTTGAGACCCTGTAACTATGGTCGTACCAATTACGGTTTGCTAGAAACTGGAAGATCCCAGGGTATTTGTGTAATATAAAGAGTTACACAAAGGCATGCAAGCTAGTTTAGTCGATGCAAACTCAAGATAAGTCCTTCGGAATCACAAAAAGCTACAGGGCTGATACAGCAGTGGAGCACTCATTTGAAAAGTCCCGAATAGAGAAGTAGCACAGATCTTTGATAGTACTACATATAGATTGATACTTGAAGAACCAGTAAAAACTGAACAGAACCAAAGTGCTTGGCAAGGCACTCCACCAACCAGGCTACCAGAGGGTAGCCGGAGAAAAAGGACCCAACTGTGAGGACCAGAAGCAGGTCACAGCCCTTTCAGGCTATCTGAATTGATAGTTTAAGATAGCTGGAGATACTAGTAAATAGTCTGTAAGTGTGTATCAGGGTTTGGATAAACTCTATAAGGGCAGAAGTAGGTTGTATAGCAGGGATCAGAAAACTGGGCCGCAAGTAGTGAGCCTCGGTCCGTGCATATCAACTAAAGCCTAGGTCAGCCAGATTGTGGGTACAGAAGGCTCTAGCAGGTTTATCCCGAAAATAAAACTGTTACTTAAAATAGTATTGTAGTGAGATTATATATATAGAAATATATATACGACGGATATAGATCATCTAGTTGTAAAAATAGTCCATACAATAATAAAAGTACTTGACCAAAGTGGTCACCTTAACACTAAAAAAAAAAAAAAATTAATTCATGATCCGCATATAAACCAGTGACCAATCATAGTAAAAAGTAAAGATATGTTTACTATATATTTTTTGCTTTATTTGAAATCTAGAGTTTCCCCAAAGTGAAGTCGATTTTTTACTAAGTAAACCTTCTTTCTACTTCTAATAAAAGTTGTAGAGAATAGAATTTCGGTCATAATGGTAGTTGAAACACTAAAATCGGCCCAGTGGATCACGAGATATAAGTGATTTAAGTTTCGCGACTATATGTTTTCTTCTTTAGAAGAAAACATATAGTCGCGAAACTTAAATCGCTTATATCTCGCGATCCACTGGGCCGATTTTAGTGTTTCAACTACCATTATGACCGGAATTCTATTCTCTACAACTTTTATTAGAAGTAGAAAGAAGGTTTACTTAGTAAAAAATCGACTTCACTTTGGGGAAACTCTAGATTCCAAATAAAGCAAAAAACAATAGTAAATTTTTTCAATTTTTACTATGATTGGTCACTGGTTCATATGCAGATCACGAATTAAAGAAGATCAAATGTTACATGAAATTGAAAAAAAAAGTCTTGATCAGTGGCAGCATAAGCTTTTAGAAAATAGGGATCTAACTTGTACAATTGCATAGCCAGAAAGTAATAATAATGAAGATAAAGGACAACTTATAGGTTTCATAATTTCTATTGCAAGAGAAATAATTTATCAAGCTAATGTTATTATACTTAATACAACACACAGTACTAATAAAGAAAACGATCAACTTTATATGTTTTTTTTATTTGACTCTAAAACCAAAAAAGGAATTCCTTTTGCACATCTTATCTCTTCTTGTAAAAATACTGCATCTGTGCAGTTTTGGTTAAATTGCCTTCGTATTCAATTATCAAATTGGGAAAGTTCAATATTATTTTTAGTCGATTGTGATTCTGCACAAATCAAGGCTATTCAGAATATTTTTCCTAAAAGTAAAATATTATTATATTGGTAGCACATTCTTAGAGTCTGGTGTGATAATTTAAAAAAGTTTATATCGTAAAAGTAGCAGATAATAAATTAAACTTTGAAATAAAAAAAAAATAAAAGATGAATTATGGAATGATTTAAGAAAATTAATGCAAATTGATTGTCACAAGAGTGTTGAAGAGTATCTTTATAATTTTTTAACAAAATAGTCGAGTTCAACATCATTTATTTTATATTTTAAAAACAATAGTTAAATGAGCCTAATAATAATTATCTAACTAATGAAATCGATAAAAGTATGTAGATTAAAGCATATCAATTAGATGTTCCTCATAATAATTTGAATACTACAAATATGCTAGAATCTTGGTATCAAAAGCTCAAATATGATATTTTTGATGGAAAGCCTAATCATTGTAAAGATATTCTTATTCATGAGTTTTATATTAATAGAAATAGTGATGCTCGACAACAATAAAGATTAGCATAAATCCATACAAGAAGAATGATACTAGCAAAAAGAGAAATTCAACAATATAAACAAAAAGCAAAAGCTTTAGTTCAAAAAGTAACTAAAATAATTGCTGGACGATATTGGATAGTTTCATCTGGTTCAAAACCTGATATAAATTATTTAGTTGAAAAAAATATAGAATTTTAAAACCAATTAGAAAGACAATTTATTTGTGCTTATTATGATTTTCAGAACTGATTGCTTCTTTGTAAGCACATCTATGCCATTATATTTCATTATTTTTCAAATAATCAAACTTTTATTGCACAACAATTGCAACCACAGTCACAATTACTGCAGTCACAATTACAACCACAATTACAATTACAACCACAGTCACAACCACAATCACAACTTAATTCGCAATATGTTTGGCAACAACTTTTTAACAAAATTTAAGAAATGCCTAAAAGTTTAAATAACCTTAACAATTATAGTATACAGATTGTTTGAAACTGACTATCACAAGCTCTTCGAGAAATTCAAAAAATAGATGAGTTTTGTACTAGTAATTGGGTTAAAGAAAGTACAAAAATATAATTTTCTTTATATATGAATATTAAAAGACAACGATGATAATATTTGTCATTTATATGCTAAATTTGGCTAGTATATAAAAGTAAATAAATAAAATACTTGAGCCTTACTTAGGTTTTTTATTATATGGATAATAAAGTAGCATTTCGATATATTTTTTATTTCTTAATTTTTGTATATTAATGTTAAGCAGTATATATTTTATTTTAGCATCGCTAATATATAGTTATAATATATCATATATAAAAATTTATAATACTATCACATGACTATATATTACACAATTCTAAATCAGGTTTGTATCACTGTAAAAAATAAGAACATGCACTTGGGTGACCCACCTGTGGGTGACCTGAGTTAAGATTTTTGTAACAAGTCAGAATACTACTTAGTAGTACTATATAATTTTTACAGTCTGGCACAGACTTAATAATACTATTTTTGTTTTTTTTTTTGTTTTTGTTTTTGTTTCTTTGATTTTTTTAGGTTTATTTGTTTTAGGTAGTTCAGATTTTGTTGTTAAATATATTTTTCTTTTTTTTTATACCCTTTAAATTTGTGTTTGTATTTTTCTACTAAAAAGAAAAATCAATATTGATGTAAATGACTTGTAGTCACTAGCTAAGAATTAAAAAGAAAAAGTTCTTAGCAAGTTAAAAACCCAGATTGAGGCCAATGACTACTAAGGTAGGCCACATTGGGCAGAAGCTTGGTGAGCTATATTTGAGTAGATTAGTATAGCTAGAAGATAAGTTACTGTAATTTGTCAAATAGTTTTGATCTCAAATAAACTATAGCAGGTAGCTGAATTATAAAAAAAATATACAGGTTATCCAGAGTTTAGGTTCTATAGTTTAGTTATTAAGCTCTTATTCTCCTATAGGCAAGGTCAATAGTTCAAGTTTAGTTGGAAGTAAAATACTTTATAATCAAAATTAAAGCTTATAATCAAATGTGAAACTCTGTACGAAGTCTATATAAAAAAATATATATTCAAAAATTTCTAAAAAAAAACTAGTATAGAAGAGAGTAGGTATTATTATAGTAAAAAAAGTAAAAATTGTTATTGATATTTGTAGAAAAAGATTGGTCTAGTATTATAGAATTACCTCTAATACAAGAATCCAAACCGGTATAGATATAGGATTTATTTCTGTTATAGTAGAAAATTATTTTGAGAGTAAAGTAATTCTAAGCTTTAACTAAATCAAATTAAGTTTGGTATTATAGAAAAAAAATATTAAAAATCAAAAACTTTAAATAGAGAACTCACAGATGAGTTTTAGATATAGCAATTAGTAGGTAACTTGTAGGTGGAGTTTTTAAATAAACAATGACTAAGCTGTATATATAGTTAATTGTAATTTCATTTATATACAAAATATAATACTTTTATGTAATAATTGATAGATCAGTATTTAATAAAAATTATGAAACACAGAAGTCTCTCTTTAAATTATAAAAAAAATATACAAATTATCTCTGTTAATATTAATTTTATTAATATCAACTTAAATCACAAACCAAATTTTTATAAATTTTTATATATCAAAATTCTCTTATATAGTATATATTAACTTTAATATAATTTTTCATTAATATTACTATTAATATAATTTAAATCTAATTTAAATAAGTTAATATTAATAAGAATAATCTATATATTTTTTATCATTTTATAATCTTTTGCTAAAGTTTTGTTTTTTAATTACTAATAGTTTAAAAAAATTTTCTATTAAAGTTGATGTATTTTTTGTTTTTATCTCTTAAATTGTTAGGATAAATATTCAAATTTGTATATTTAAATTTTTAGAAAAAAATTGAACTTAAAAAAAATTTTTTTAGTTAAATCTTTATTCTAATTGATTATAATAATTTTCAAAGACTCAAGTTATACAATATATTCTATAGTTGTAGCATAGAGCACTTTATGTAATCTAAACAAAAAGCAAAATTTTATTTGATAACTATGAAGTATACTTTGTAATTTAAATTTTAAGTTGCTATATCTTTGTAGTATTAGCTCAAAAATTAATTATATAAAATTGATTATGAAAGATCTTTAATTAATTTTAATGTTATACTATAAAAGAAATTTTTATATAATAAATATGAAGAACCTTTATAAGTATCATATATAGATTTCTTTTTTAATATAAAATTTGAACATCAAAGTTCTATTACAATCTATTTTAAATAACTAATTTTTAAAATATCATTCAAGAAATTTTATATTATAAGAATTATATAGCAACTAATATGTGGTATGTTTTATTTTAACTTAGAAAATAGGAAGTAAAGTTTAACAAAATTTAAAGTAAACAAAAAAAATAGATTAAAAAAAATTAAGCATCTAAATTTAGATGTTTAATGATTTAAAAGATAATTTTTGTAAAGTTAAATCAAATAATTAACTTAATTAAAGCAATTATATAATTAGTTTAAATAATTTTTTAAAATTAAAAAAATTTACTAAATAAAAGTTTTTTTGCTTCTAAATAAAGTTGTAACAAAGATCAATTTTTTTAATAATCTTCTAGTTTATACAACAAAAAACCAAACTACAAAAAAATACTATAGAATGATCCAAGTTAATACTATTCTTAGTATTATAGAATAAGTTTTTTAATTTTCTTATTATTAGTATTATTTAGTATTATTATTATTATTATATTATATTCTATTGTTGTATTATTATATCATCATATAATATTATTAAGTAGTTTTGTATAATGTGATGAACAAAAAGAATAGTTACTATTTCTACCATTTCTACTATTTCTACTATTTCTACTATTTCTACTATT